GCTATGTTCCAAAACCTACAGTGAGCTGCCTAACATTTTATGGCATCTTATTCCATGGCAGCATCATTTTCACTGCAAAGGCAAGTCCCAGAATGCTCTGCAAAAAGCTCTTTAAGAAAAATATAACTGGACTATTTTAAACAGTATTTATATTTGGTATGTATTTTATGCTTGCTGGATTATTGCAAATATAAACATGCTAAAGCCAAACTTTAAATGCATCAAGTGCGAGTAAATCACAGTTTCTTCAAAATTGTCTTTTGAGGTTCAATTTCCATTTTCTGTCAATGGTTCTTTCATGAGTATTCTTCCACCGACGCAGAAAGTATGTGGCAAATCCTCCTGGGAAGTTCGTATTTACGAGTTGGAAAGTCGTGTTTACGACATCAGGTAACCTATGTCAAGTCACTTTCGCCGGAGCAAGGCAGTAAACCTTCTCTTAATTAACCAGCTACACAAAAACACAGCAAGGTTTTCAAACTCAACTTCTAGAAAATGAAGAACCAAGAAAGTGCATCAGGTGAGTTTTGCTTTTTTATGTTGTGAATTATTTTGTGAAGCCCCTGTAAACTTTATCCTTACATATTATATTGTTATATTACAATGCTATTATATTTTGTGCAGGCAATTGGCTTATTTTAGTAGCCTAAATAAAAAAGCCTGACAATGCTACTGCTAAATACCTGTAAGTATTGTGGTATTCTGCCACGTTTCTCACTGACACGTCCCATTCAGCATTCAGCTCCTAAATACTATCTTTCCGACATGACTCAATGCACCATATTTATGGTCCCTTCATATGCTATCGGGAGTTTCCCACTTTCCCACTACTAAAGTCGTGATTACGAGCTCGTCACATTCAAGTGCTTTGTTGTCGGAAAAAACTGGAATCATGGAGGACACTTGGTTTATTCATGCTATTTATTGTGAAGATCTTATTAAAACAATAATTACATTTAGCGTCCCATTCATTAACAACCATAGGCCTATAAACCTTCACCACGCTATCTAATCAGCTTGCAGACTTCTCGACGATTCTGCAAGTCAAATAGAGGCTAAAAACAGGCTATTTTTGCTGTATACAATACGCTTCAAATGACTATTCATAAATGTTGTTCCAAACCTAAGATTCTTTCTCCTGTTGAACACAAAATAAGTTATTTTAAAGAATGTTGGTGACAGTTGACGGCAGCCATTGGTTCCAATATTTTTCTTTTACAACTATGAAAGTCATTGGCTGCCGTCAACTGATTACCAACAGTCTTCAAAATATCTTCTTTTGTGTTCAACAGAAGAAAGAAACTCACATAGGTTCGGAACAACAATAATTTTTGGGTGAATTATCCCTTTAAATCTAACTTTGACTTGTGTATAATTGTGAAAAGTCTTCATCTCGTTCGACAGTGTGACTCATCTCAATGTGAAATGCACTGGTCAGTGTGTTGTCTGTTCTGTTGTCCGATAGCAAACTCTGTTTTTTCTCTTTGTTCTCAGCTGGAACATGTTCAGACAAATCTATATGCATCATTATGTGAAAATGCTGTGATTCAGTGTTTCACATCTTATTGAGGACCTTCGAGGTTGTTAGATGCACAAGTGATTTTGATTACCTCTCATATACATTTGAAAAACTGATTTATCACGATAGCTTCTAAATAATGAGAGAGAGAGAAAAATCATCCAGCAGTTTGAACTATAGACAAAGAACATCTATGGGACAAAAGCTTTAACCTTTAACCTGATGTCTTTTGAAATAAAGAGTCATATTTGGGTCCAAGAACTCAGGATTTTTTTCATCTACACTTTCATGTGCATCTGTGTGTGAAAGGCAAAAAGAACAAATTAGCCTTTCCTGTGATTATGTGACCGTATAGCTCAGCTGCTATACACAAACTTCTATACACACACACACACACACACACACGCACACACACACACACACACACACACACACACACACACACACACACACACACACACACACACACACACACATTAGTTTCCTTGGCAACAGCAGAAAGGCACTAAAAACAATTAGGGAAGCACTTCTGTTTTCCTTGCATTCTTCATCTGCTTTTCATTCCGGATGACCTTTAAAGCGATTGTACCGTGCAAACGTGAGAATTATCATATTTTCAGTTACAATTGGTCCTGACATCATTTACAGATTCGTTTGTATCTGTGACCTTGAGCAAAGCCTATGTGTGATAAAGCAATGTGATCTGTAGAGCAGACAGAAAATAAAATAACACTGCATGGCAACTAATGGAGGCTTTGTGGCTTTAAGTCTGTGTCTGCTATTCATACACAACATTTCCAGTCTTTTTCTTCCAGGGAAATGGACCAAAAGTATATAGGCCTACTGATGATTCATCTTGCACTCAATATTTTTTGTCCAATCAAATGCTCTAGAATAGGAATGCCCCTCCCCTAATACTACCTGCACTCTGATTAGCAATAGCAAGTATGTAACAGCAGTAATGTAAGCTTTAAACAACACAATCCCAATTCATAACTATTCTCATTACTTTACACAAATTGGCTATAATTTATACAAATTCACATGATCTAATTCGGTGGTTATGGGTGGACCTTCATGCTTTTTTCTCTAAAAATTACAAGTTTTCATACAATTCACATTGTACTAATTTATACGAAATCGCCTCTTCATAAAATTGGTACATTTTCCTATGAGATCTAAATAAAAAAAGGATGAACATTTCAATATGTCCCGTCCAACTTCCTTTTTTAAAATATTAAATACAGTATATGTTGTATACACTCATTTGTATATTGGGGGGGGGAAATGAGATATATAACTTAAATAAATTATGACAAAATATGTGAAAGTTACAATTCTGATTTTGTGTTTATTGTCCTTATAGCTTGTACATTTAGCTGGTATATGCATTGATAGATTTGTAACAGTAAAACTATTTTGATGAAGCAAAATAAGGTAAATAAAGTATATTAGTGTTGGGGGTCTTTGTCAAGCTCAGTTAATGTCATTAATCCGACATGGTGGTCAAACATTGGAAATGGTTCTAAATGCAGAGATAAGGATCTGCCCTTAAGGATGTACTATTGAATGTTTCCTTCAAGGTGAATGCAGCTTATGGTGTGACATTTTAAACATTCATCCAATCCATCTAGACGCATCAGAGCTGATAGCTCTCAGTTAACCCCCATTGACTCATTGAGAAGGGTACAAATTGCAGCAGAGCTCTGAATACATTAACCCTATCTGTCTGCCTGTAGCAAAAACCTTGTTCACAAAACGTCTCGTCACAGCCAAAGCAAATCTGTATTTATTTCATTTAAAGCAGTATGACTGTGAGGATTTGCTGTGCTGAACAAATGTTCAGTATTCAGCTAGAGCAAACTTGTGTAGGTTTATTTAAAAGTCAGTGTGTGTTTAATATACTGATTTAGTTAAATGTTCTTTTATTTAAATGACTTGCTTGGCAAATTCTTTTAAACCCTGAACGAGTTAAAACTTCATTAAGAGCTTGAAGGAGGAATGGGATTTGAAAGATAAATAAACTTCTGATGGAGGCTAGCATGGACAAACAAATGCTATATGTTTTAAATGTATTTGATTATATCTGAAAGCACTTGCTCTCTGTAGGTTTATGTGCACGGCAATGAACAATTCAGGTTTAACAAAGTTCAATGGCGCCATCTTCTGTAGCCTACAGTGTATAAAGAAAAAATAACATAACCTTATAATTTTGGGTTGGTAAGATTTTTTCTAATGTTTTAATTTGATTTTAAAAAATGCCCGTAAAACAATTATTAATATATATATCTATTTTTTTTTTTTTTTTTTACATTTTATTGCAATATAAAATTTTCTATTTTAATATATTTCAGTGCTCCAGTCTTCAATGTCATGTGATCCTTCAGAAATCATTCTAATACTGATTTGCTACTGAAGAAAAAATTCTGTTGAAAACAGTTATTGCAGGGTAATACTTTCTGTAGTCACATTAGTGTAAAAAGCATTTTTACTTTAAAAATCACTAGCTTTTTTTATTTAAAATGAACAATACTTTTACTGCATCTTTAATGTTAATCTAAAATATTGTTGAGATCAAAAATTGTATCTGTTAGCCCCATATAGTTAGTGCACTGTATTAACATGAATGTGAACATTTTTATTATTAACATCAACAAAGGTTAATAAATGCAGTTAAAATATAGGCTATTGCTCATTGTTTGTTCATGTTAGTTAATGCAGTATCTAATGTTAACAAATGACACCTCATTGTAAAGTGTTAACAACAAAATAGCAATACAGAAACAATAGGCATAGCACAGGGGTTTTCAATCTTTTAGCCATGGACCCCCGAATACGATCATCTGTTCGAGGGCCCCCCATCCTAAAATTTAAAAGGCAGCTATATATTTTCATGTATAAAGACTAAATTAATAGTCTACATTAATTAATATTAATTATATATATATATAATATATATATATATATATATATATATATATATATATATATATATATATATATATATATATATATATAGCCTATGTATACTCACATATGCATGCGCTGTAGCCTACTGTAGATTAATTATTTATTTATTTAATTTATTTTAATCAATTTATTTAATTTGATCAGTGTTTTATTTTAATCAGTGCGACAGAAGGGTTAATACAGTTTGTTTATCTAACTACCGAGATATAAAGTGACGTTTATTATTTATTTCTGAATTTTCGCACGTAAACCGTTCTGCTGCGGTTGCGCAAAGTCACTTGCTCGTGTAAAGGTAAGTTTGACTCCAACATAAAAGTAATTAAACCAGCAATTTGAACAAACAAAGAATTTATGTAAAATGAATATGTTGGGAATTGTTTGTGCGTATTATGGGTGTGAAACCATAGACAGTATAAGAAGCACTAGAGAAACACTAGAGCTCTCGTTCGACGTTTTATTTCCTGCGTAACTAACGTAACGTAAGTCCACCGAAAGGCGGCGCACAGTGGCAGGACAGTAACACAGTAGCCGTCGCTGACTGTCTACCTCATCTTTCTATAAACAACCCGAAACGACATCGAGAGGTGGAGCCGCCGCGCTGACAACTGTCAAAAGACCCTTCCTGATAAGAAGAGCTCTTCCGTCCTCACAGCATCTTGTCGTATCGCTTTCGAAACCGTTATAAGCCAAATAGTTGAAGCGAATATACCATATATTCCGAGTATACGACGTATCTTTCGCTATTCCGTTATTGCGGAGCCGTTTCGGATGAGCGGTTCGCACTTTGACAGTTTTTGACAGGCTGCATGTCTTCCTGGAGACCCACTGATAAGGTGAGACGACCACGAGTGTGTTTGAACTGAACGCTAGCTTACATTTTCCAAAGCATCGTCTAGTTGCGTGCTTATGGGGCTAGTCATGGCACACGAGCTGTAGAAATGATGCTGATGGAGCATTTCAAAGAAATGTGCTACAAACTAATTACACGTGCTACAAATATATGTATGTTACTACAAATAGTGCTACAACTAAATACACGTATTTTCATGCAAAGCTGTATAGCAACGTAATGTGTAGTTGTATTCTCATTTGGGAAGTCTGTTTATAATTATGCATCAAAGAACTATGCTATTCCGTCCCAGAAAACATTTAATTTGCATCCACGTCAAGGAAGTGAAACAGAATGACCCCGTTTAACGAAGAAACCTTCCTTTGTGGTTAAAATTGGCGCTAATATCAAGAGAACCGCCAAACTTTTGCAAAGTAGGAATGGAAACTTACTTTGCTTCTTTACCACAGTATAGGCTATAACGGATTGTTTGTATTTGCATTGATACTCATGTTAATATATATGTATATATGTGTATAATATTATAATATTATATAGGCTACTATTTGTTGTTGGCCATAACGTAAAAATGATTATTCGCCAAAATGTCTGTATTAAAAAATAAAATACTTTACTTTTACCTTTAACCTATTATATATATTTATACGTAAGTTGTTTTTTCAAAGAAATTGCATGTATTGGATGAAGAGAGGAGAGTGAAAAAAGATTCACAGGTCCAACAGATTACAAAAAAAAAAAAAAACATGTTAATCATGTGTTATAAAACAAAAACAAATGAGAGATTGATGAACTCAATGAAGGCAGCAGAGCTGTTAAACAACACTGTCAGTTTAAAAATAGCCATTGGAGGGATTATTAGCTAAAGACAAGGATTTAGTTTTAAAGCACTGGACGTGTTGCATCAAACAGCCTGAAGAGCTATTTACTTAAGCTCTAATGAATCATTTCTATTTTGCCTGACTAAAAGCACCTATTTCTCTATTGAAATGTATAGGTTCTGGCAGATACTAATATATCTGGATAGCCGTATAAACTTGGTTATACAGTACTTTGCATCTTGTCTCACCTTTGTGTTATCCTCCAACATTGTCCATTGTGTAGTTTGTAAGTGTGCAGGCATGTTTTTAATGCTTCTTGAGATTATTAGTTGAATCAGGATTAAGGATTTGTAGGGGGAAAAAGAATAGGTGCTTTCTATACAAATCATAAATGCTTATGCTTAAAAGAATAGGCGACCGAGTGAGTGTTTGTATTTCTCCATTCGCACAGAACTGGATTCCTAGCTAATTAAATTGTAAAATGCCATCTGTTGTTGAGACTAACCACAATTATCTAACTAAAGGGACTTAATATAACTGACTAAAGGGGAAGTGGAGGTCTGTGGTTTGCTCCACGTGCTCTCCTTCAGGTAATCTCCTGCTAAAAGCTCCGTCACCCTGCACGAGATGAGCCTGCCGTTTGAGATTAGGAATTACGCAAAGATCAGTATCAGACTGCGAGAAGCTGTGGAATATTAAATGTCACGTTTATTGTGATGTTTTTTATTTTGGTCATCTGATTCACAGTGTATTATTGTTTTCTCTTGAGTCAGTGAGGTGTTTGCTAATGAGTAAATGTAATAATAAAGAGGGAACATTTAATGCAAAGGGAGGAACTATAGGGACCTAAATATGAGCAGGAGTACTACAACTCATAGTGATGTTTGAGTTATCAATAAACACTTTTAAGTTAAAGCACTTTTTACACAATCTATATGTGTTCTACAGTGATGTCAAGGCGAAGCACAAGGTTAGGTTCCAAAGGGACGACCTTTCCTGATGATGATGCTGCCAGCACCAGCTCCACTGAAACCACTGGCCACGTCTCTTACAAAGAGAGCCCAACCAGGTGTGTTTTTATGTGCTGGAGCTCTCAGTACATCAGATACATAGTTTGCATGTGCATCAATGGCAGTGAACCTGAGACAGATGCTTTCCTGCAGGATCTTCAAGAAGAGGACCGGTCGCAAGAGCACAGGCAGTGTATCCCGTAACTCCAGTCGCGCGAGCAGCGTGACTCAGATACAGACCGGGCAACGCAGTGACCTCACTGCCACTGAAAATAAGAATGGTTAGTTTCTACACAGAATATGCAAAAAAAGTGTGTATATATTATATATATATATATGTGTGTGTGTGTGTGTGTGTGTGTGTGTGTCAAACAGAAGCTCATGCATGCTCGCTTAATGTGCGATTGCGTGTGTGTGTGTATATATATATATATAGGTTTCACTTTATTTTGACGGTCCCTTTAACACATTCTGTTGACTATGTAACGTTGCACCTACATGTCTACTAGCTCTTATTAGAGTGTTATTAGAGTATTAGTAGACTGATAGGGTTCGGGTTAAAATAAGTTGATGTACTTGCAAAGATACTCATAGTCAGTAGAATGTCGGTTGGATCATCACAATAAAGAGTTAGCAGATATTAAGCAGAGAGATTAATAGAAAGCTTTTGCAACATAATAAATGTCTATACTGTCACTTTTGATCAATTTAATGCATCCTTGCTGAATAAAATTATTAATTTCTTTCCAAAAAAAACAACAACAACAACAAAACTCTTACTGACCCCAAACTTTTGACCGGTAGTGATAATGTTACAAAAGCTTTCTATTTCAGATAAATGCTGTTCTTTTGATCTTTCAATTAATCAAATAATCCTGAAAAAAAATTGTACACAACTGTTTTCAACATTGATAATAATATGTTTCTTGAGCATCAAATCATCATATTAGAATGATATCTGAAGGATCATCATGTGACACTGAAGACTGGAGAAATGATGCTGAAAATTCAGCTTTACCAACACAGAAATAAATAGCATTTTAAAATATATTCAACTAGAAAACAGTTATTTTAAATTATAAAATTATTTCACAATATTACTGTTTTCCTGTATTTTGGATCAAATAAATGAAGCCTTGGTGAGCAGAAGAGACTTCTTTAAAACATAAAAAAAATCTTACCGTTCTAATAATTTTGGTTTTATATATATATATATTTACAGTATATGTAAATGAATACATGTAAAATCTACTAACATGTATTTTAATTTACTATGAATAATCTAATATTAATAAAAAATTATGATATTTAATATAAGGAGTATGTAATATTTTATATATGAGTAAGATACAACATTTTTTTTACGGTCTCTGGGTTTCAGGCATGCCTGTTGCTGGATTCTCCTCTGGATATTCCTCTGCTGAGGAGCATTATGAACAACCCATAAAATCAAGCCCTAGTAAGTGTAGATTGCTAATTTTATAAATGAAAAAAAAAAATTGTCTGGTAGGTTGGGCGAATGGGCGTGCTGGTCCTTTTTTGAATTGTCAAGCAAAGAGCGTTGTAGAAATTTTGACAACTTATTTTTCCTTTTCTCTAGGTTTAACCCCGTCTGTAGCTGAACCAGGCTTTGGCATTCGTGACGTGTTTCACTCTCCAGGTATTGCATGTTTAAACCCTCTAACATGAACAATCAGTCTTTTTCTCCTGCAGTAGTCATGCGCTCATGTTTGTGTGTGTGTGTGTTGCAGCTCAGGCTCTGGTTATGCTCTACTGGTGGCTGGGCACTGCGTGGTACAGCCTCACCTCACGACTTTCTCTGATCAATGTGTTTCTGCTCAGCAGGTACAGTGCTCTGTGTGTGTGTGTCATTATTACATTAAATATGTGACCTTAAGAACATGTATGATAGTTATGCAATAACTCACTGTTACTTTCCTGGGATTTCCAGGCCTGGAAAAGTCTTGGAAATGTTTAAAAACATAAATGAATGAAGTTAATGAATTTGTTTCTAGGTACGCTCAGCTCTAAAACGTTTTAAAGGGATACTCCACCAGTTTTTATTATTAAACTATGTTATTCCCTTAACTAAGACGAGTTGATACATACCTCTCTCGTCTCAGTGCGTGCACTATATCGCTCTGTATTGCCGCAAAACTATGTTAGCACTTAGCTTAGCCCAGTGCATTAAATATGGGCCAAGCAGAGAAGCGACCAAACACTTCCACGTTTTCCCTATGTAAACACAGTTACTCGAGTAGTGTAACTTGACCTGGGCTGGTGACACAAAATAAACCGTTGCGCTTTTCTAAGCGTTTAAAATTGATGACTATATTGTATGGCGGAATACCATAACAAGTGCTTTTGAGCACTTCGACTTGGCGCAATAATATCTTCACTCGTGAAAAGATTACCGGCTCCCGCTTCCTCTCCCCCTCCCTCCAATAGCATCCAGCTGCTGACATTTCCGTCAATACTACCAACGTGACTTTTACTACCTGTGCTATTAGCAAACTGCAGATCATTTGCAATGGCCGACTTTGTAGATGATTATGACTTCTTTTAGAAGACCCAGAGCCATATCTGTTTGAACCCGAGTACACAGAGGAGGAATTAGCTCTTGTGGACCGTGAGAGGCAAGAAAGATATGATCCAGAACAGACCGGAGCTGGCGAAAGACCACGGGCTTTCTGTAAGTGATCTGAATATTGTTGGTGTAGCCTCATCCTTTAGGCGTGTTCCTGTGCAGGTATAGTCCTTCTTTGTGAAATGTTCGGAGCAAACACGCCACTTCTTCAGAGTCATCAATGGTGTTTTGGGATTCTTGTTCAAAGCAGCTAACCAAGCTCTCCGCTGTATGTGGTGTGTTGGAATTCGGTGAAAAATGACAGCACTATGTACATTCTCCTTATTTTCACAACCCTTTACGATGCACGCTTTAACCATTATTGTACACAAACTAGCTTCCAACAACCTGTTACTTCGTCAACTCCGCTCGAACTACTACTACCGGCGCATGTCACGTTGTATTGACGGAAATGTCAGAGGGAGGGGGAGAGGAAGCGGGAGCCGGTAATCTTTTCACGAGTGAAGATATTATTGCGCCAAGTCGAAGTGCTCAAAAGCAATTGTTATGGTATTCCGCCATACAATATAGTCATCAATTTTAAACGCTTAGAAAAGCGCAACGGTTTATTTTGTGTCACCAGCCCAGGTCAAGTTACACTACTCGAGTAACTGTGTTTACATAGGGAAAACGTGGAAGTGTTTGGTCGCTTCTCTGCTTGGCCCATATTTAATGCATGGGCTAAGCTAAGTGCTAACATAGTTTTGCGGCAATACAGAGCGATATAGTGCACGCACTGAGACGAGAGAGGTATGTATCAACTCGTCTTAGTTAAGGGAATAACATAGTTTAATAATAAAAACTGGTGGAGTATCCCTTTAATGGCTCGCTAATTTTTTTTTAAAATACTACAAATAAACATTTAAGAACATTTATTTTTCCACATGATCACCGATCCTCTCTTTCTCTGTAGATGCACAGCAGATATGAGAAAGGCTATCCTACTGGTTCTCCTTCTCATCTTTCTCATTTTTGGTGAGACAGCTGATGGACACTCTTCTAAAATATCAAAAATGAAACTTAGATATTTCAAGATAACACGAGAACCTTCAAGACTGTGTACATGTAGCTGTAAAAAATACTTATGCATGTGTTCATGCCTGATAATTTCTCATAGAGTTATCAAGAAACGTTAATTAGCATTTACCCTTTTGCAGGAATATGGTACTGGTTCCCGTTTGCTTCTCGTTCTCCATCTCATGTGGTTGTTTCCAGGACTTCATCTGTCAGACACACAGACGGACCTATGAAAGCAGCTTTTGATGTGAGTAGAACAATGCTCAGTTATTGCATGTTTCTTTTAAATGTATTATTATTTTTAGTAAATGCAATTTTTGCTCTTTTAGGACCAACTCCAACATGCCAGCCTGTCTAACTTGAAGGATGAGATCGCCAGCTTGCACGAAAGGGAGGGAAACCTGATGGTAATTAAACTCTAATCACAATCATTTATGTTGGTGTCTGTTAAAAAGAAAGTGTCAAGTCACCTTTATTTATATAGCGCTTTATACAATACAGATTGTTTGAAAGCAGCTTTACAGAGATGCAAACAGAATTCCATTCTGCTGTAAAGCAGCTTTAAAAGAGACAATAGTAACCCTAACCATTATTCAGCTCAAGTCAGTTCAGTTCAATAACTGTAAAGTTCATCATTTATGAAATGAATTCAGTTCAGCTACTGTATATGAGTTCAGCTATAAAGCAGCCCAGCAGAAAACATCCAGCACATTCAATTAATAATATTAGACGAGACAAAAAATATAGATAAGAAACCCAAACTGCATCAGGTGACAGAAATGAAGGAAAAACAAAAGATCTGTCCTAATTTCTTTCTATTTTATTATCTGTTATCTCAGAGAGACATCGAACTACTGAAGATGGAGAGCGCAAAACAGAAGGTCAAATCTGAGGTGAGGAAACGAAACCTTTCTTCTGTATATTAGCAACTATATCATCTCCACTCGCTGTAAAACGTCATCCATCTTCCTTTCCACCTCGTCTGTTTCTTCTGTCATAGCAACAAAGCACAAAACAGGAAATGATGTCCTCCACCTAATTTGTGTTTTTGTGTGTTGTCTCCTAGATGCTGCAAACCGATTTGAGGTCTATGAATAAGCAGATGATGAAGTTAGTGTTTTTCTAGACTTTTTTATGTTTAGTCTTGTGCATGTTGCATCATTATTATTTGATCCAGTGATGTATGGCACATGTTGAATGTTCCCTAGTGTTGAGTCTGAGCGTGGGCAGCAGATTTCTGAGCTGAAGTCCAGTCTCTCAAGTCTTCAGTCTGCTCAATACCTTCTCAAGGAAAGAGTTGATGCACATGACACTCTCAACACCAACGTAAGGACACACGCTTTTAGCTCTTTTAAATTCAGCGCTGAGATTTGCCTGTGAAGGGGTTGCAAAGTGCAATTACTTAATAATCAATTATTCCTTCATGTCCTTTCTTTTGCAGCTGAGAGCAGAGCTATCCGATTGGCTAATAACACACCTGAAAGATCCAAGCTCACTGGACTCAACTATAGTGCTCCGTCCTGAGCTGCAGAGGGCGCTAGAGGATCTGGAGAAACGCATACTAGATAAACTAGTGCATGAGAAAGAGAGCGGCAGAGATGTCTGGAGGACTGTGGGAGAGACGCTGCACCAGGAAGGAGCCGGAGCCGCCACGATAAAAGTGTGTGTCGGAGAGAGAACAAATTCAGACATTTTTAGGGCAGTCTGAAGTTTTAATGGGTGTTTTTTTAATGCATAACAGGATGTGAAAGAAATCGTCCAGAGGGCAATTGGTCTGTACAGGGCAGATGGGATTGGATTGGCGGACTATGCCTTGGAATCTTCAGGTACAAATCTCCTGCATGAAAACTTGTTCATTGACTATATTATACTTTCAAATGATACTTTTTTTGATATATATATATACATAAATATACAGTAGGTAGTCAACCTGAATGCCTATAAGTCGCATTTCAAAGTCATTCGCGAAATGGCCGCCATGTGGCGCAAAGGGACATTTTGCAAAACATCAGCAATTGCCGCATTTTGAAACTTAAGTGGGGCTAATGCCAATGAACAGTAAGGATGAAATACTACAAATATGGTAATTTCCAAATAAGCCTACAACAAACATGAAAAATAAAAAAGAGCTATTGACATTCGCTGTACAATAATGAAACAACCTAAGATTTGGTGGAGTTGAAACTGCGTGTTATAAAGTAATCATTTTATTATTAAATAAATAAAGAGAATGCGGTTAATGTTGTTTAAACAAACGATACATAAATATAGACTATTATTTGAACGAACAGTGAACTATAATATATCTCTGTTTGTAGGCTATCGTTTATAAAAAAAAGGTATTGTAAAAAAACTTTTCATTATTTCAACAAGAATGAGACATGTAAATAAATAAATAAATAAACAAACAAAACAGAATAGAAAAACCTTTTAGAACAAAAGAAATACAAGTTTTTTTTTTAAAAATATGCATATTAGGCTACAACATAATTGGTTACATTTAACGAAAGCAGAAATTAAATATGTAAAAGTACATTTTAAACAGAATAGAACAAACTTTTAGAACAGAAAAAAAGAATCAAAAGTTAAAAATAGAGACTACAACAATATAGCCTATACTTCATATTGTAGACGTCGGTGGGCAACAGAAGCCTATTCCTCGGGGGAGCAGCGCGATAAACAAACAAACACAAAAATACACCAAAACACCATTATAGGCATATCTCGCAGTCAGTGAAAATAAATGAGGTGCAATACGCTGATTATTTTTACTATGAGACGAATGAAGAGCGCTTCTCTCTCGTGTGAGCGAACACACACTGCTGGTCAACCGAACTTCTGGCCTTTCTGGTAAATTCGTGGTCGAGTGGTATAACGTAGGTTTCAATAATTTAGATAACACAGGTTCAAATCCCAAATAAACATGGGCTACTGTAATTTTTTTATTATTATTAATGGAGAGAGATTTGTCTAGTTCTAAAACTCTATTACACCATATAGTTTTGACCATGCATTTCCATTTTACACTAAGGAACAAATATTATCCAACAGAATGACTGAATTTACATTTGTATAATAATTATATTATACAATATAATTGTTTATGTTGAAATGTTTTCATTATTTATTAAAGAAAATTATGCTAATCATAATAACCTACTGTAAGCCTATTTGATTCTTAATTAATCCTAAAACAAATGCTGCCGACTAATATCGGTTAGCAAGTCTTCGATCATTTATTTTAATTTATTTCATTGTTATGTTTCAGTTCATAAATCTAGGCCTACAAACAAATTAAAATAACACGGAGTATAAACGGACACTTTTCGAAGTCTGTGATTGTAGCGCCTCTTAGCGGTAAAACACAGTATTATTCTGGTGTATCAACTGTATACAAATATACATACGCTACTGCCCAAACACTGCTGTTGGGTTTAATGTTTATGAAAGAAGTCTCTTAAGATCACCAAGGCTGCATTAGATAAAAAAAAAACAGCAATATTGTGAAGTATTGTCAAAATTGAAAATAACTTTTCTACTTTAATATATTTCAAAATGTCATTTTCTGTGCCGGCAAAGCTACATTTCCAGAACCTTCTAATTTGTATGTATAATAAAAAAATTATTTACTTTTATATACATCATACTTTTATATATAAATGCTGTTCTTTTAAACTTTCTATTCATCAAAGAATCCTGAAAAATAGTTTCCACAAATATTAAGCAGCACAACTGTTTTCAACAGTGATAAATAATGATCAATGTTTCTTGAGCAGCAAATCAGCATATTAGAATGATTTCTGGAGGATCATGTGACACTGAAGATTAGAGTAATGATGCGGAAAATTCAGCATTGCCAGTTATTCAGTTAAATTGTAATAATAATTCACAACATTATAGTTTTTACTGTATTTTTGATTAAACAAATGCAGCCTTCGTGAGCATAGTTCTTCCATAAACATTCAAAAATCTTTACTGTTCCGTACTGCACAAGTCTCACTGTGTGTGTTTGTGTAGGTGCCAGTGTGTTAAACACTCGTTGCTCTGAGACATATAAGACCCGATCTGCGTGTCTGAGTTTATTCGGCATTCCTCTCTGGTATCATTCAGAAAGCCCTCGTACTGTTATACAGGTAACCCACACACTCTCAAATCACACAAACACTGGCCACCTTCAGTTCAACACATTTGACTGTCTGTGTGTGTGTGTGTATTGTAGCCGGAGCTGTATCCCGGGAAGTGTTGGGCATTCCGAGGCTCCCAGGGTTTCCTGGTGATCGCACTATCTTACCCAGTGAGAATCACCCACGTCACACTCGAACACCTTCCCAAAGAGCTCTCGCCAACGGGACGCATCGACAGCGCGCCTAAGGATTTCGCCGTCTACGTGAGTTGATATTCCAACGTTTTTCTTCTTCTTCATAACAGTGATAAAACAACAGCATTGAGATTCCTTGCCTGTCCTGTGTTCAGGGTATGTCTAATGAGACTGAAGACGGAAAGTTGCTCGGGACATTCATGTACGACCAGGACGGAGAACCCATTCAGACTTTCAAGCTTCCGGTGAGTCAAAAATAGTCATTCTGTGATAGGCTTAGAGTGAGACCTAGATACGTTTTTGTGAATTCATCCTAAAGTTGTTCCTGTTTTGTGGCCTGTAGGAAGCCTCAGACAACTACAACATGGCAGAGCTGAGAGTCTTAAGCAACTGGGGTCACCTGGAATACACCTGTGTGTATCGCTTCAGGGTTCACGGAGAACCTTTACTCTTCTGAGAGCCGAAGAGATTCGGAGATCATTCGCTCTTGGTTTACGTTATGCAAAAAAAAAAATTTAAAGCTCAAATGCACTGGACTAGAGAAAGAATCAGACAGCTTCCTAATGTACAAATACCAAAAAGCGCTCACGTTCGACTGATATCAGAATGAAGATTGTTCGCCCTCTTAAAAACATATTCAGTTTGCATTCCTCCAACATTCATTTTCAGGCAAGTGCTGATAGGAGATTTTAGTTTTTTTTAATGCAGTTTTGAATTAACTGTTGTGATTTATTTATTTTTCTTTATGCTGGAAGGCCAGGCTTAAAGGGATAGTTCACCCAAAAATGACAATTCTGTCATCATTCACTCATCCTCAAGTTGTTCCAAACCTGTATGAAAAAAAAGAAGAGATTTTGAAGAAAGAAACTCATACAGGTTTGGAACAACTTGAGTAAATGATGACAGAATCTTCATTTTTGGGTGAACTATCCCTTTAAGTTATGTGTAACAGTAAATATGATTTATAAAGCCGAATGAAGGACAAAAAGTGTCATGCTTAGCTAGAATTACTATAAAGCAGCATTAGTGATGTTTTGCTCTGCCTTTTACATTTGTTTTATTCTCAGTATTGTGTTTTGTAATGTTTATTCACGTCATCGTAGAACCATATACCTCTTGAGAAGCTTGTAATATTTGATTGTTTTGGTATGTCCTTATGGATCAATACTGTTTGCTTGGAGCAGCAGTTGGGATTGCACTCTGAGACCTTTATTTTCCGCCCTGGTGACGAGTACACTTGGGTACTAGAAATGTCAGATGGTGTACGTCTCCTCTGCGGGACGGGGGAGGTGTGGAGGCAAACTCAGGTTTTGGGTTTTCAAACCAAAGTGCTCTTGAAGGTCACACTCTTGTCCTATGTGTATATATGTGCTTGATGATGCAGTTCTCGAATGCTTACTTAAAACTCCTTGAAGGTATAAATATGTGCATATTCGTTTTATTTGATTTATTATTATTTGATTTTGGCATCCTTCTACATTTCTCATCAAGCTTAATAGAGCTCTGATGTTAATTTGGCAAAGTTTACATTAAGTTTCTCTAACATTATTTGATATTATTTTGTAAGAAAAATGTTTTTTTTTAAATAAATTTGAGATGGTACACAATATGGTGTGAATGCAGATATTAATGCATGATTTCAAGAGTTGCACACACGAGACATTTTCATGCACATCTGCATGTGTCGTACTGCACTGATCTGTCCATGCTTCGTTTCATTATTCATGGCTAAACATCAGTCAAATCATTTGCATGGTTTTATACACAGGCAATTCAGCAACATACTTTAGACCTAGATCAAATTTAATTTGACTTCAAATTCTACCTGCAATGCACTTTTTTGTTTTTATGATACTGCAAGTTTGATAAAATTATCAAAATATAAGGGAAATATTCTAGAGCTACAGGTTTTATTTTACTATGCAAACAAATATATATAGCCTATACTGTATGTATATATCATAGACAATAAAAAGCTCAGAGGAAAAGGCATACGTTGACTACAACATAATCAGTTATTAACATTTCATTGGTTTTCTCCTGTTTTTGCATGTTCATAATTTCTTTACATGACAGCCTGGCCAAAAATTATGTCTGCTCAATTTGTCAGGTTTCATTGCATTATCACAAATAAAATAATTGACTCCAAGCACAACTACGCAAATGAGCAAACCTTTAATCATATTTAATTAAAGGGTGAAGATGCGCAGGCCAGACATCTTCACTTTTGGCCACTACTGTGCGTGGGTGTGTGTGTATACCGTAAAACTTCAAATAATAGGCCGGGCTTTTATTTTCCCAAATCGTCGAACGAGTAGCATCTGCCTGCAGTCCCGGAGGCTGCATTTTCAGGACCCCACTTCTAGGACCGCATTTCTAGGACCCTAGGTTTTTAGTGACAACGCCACCTACCGAATTAGAGGACCAGCGAAAATGGATGACATTCAGAGTGTGAGTATCAAATGCGAATCAATTTTTATTTGTTTAATTTTAAAAACAATTGTGATGCATTTCATTGGAAAGTTAACGTTGCCAACGTGCTGGTGATTTGCTAAACAGTCTTGAATGCATAGCCATCATATATTAGCCTCTAATGCTGGAAAATGAATTGTTAGCACGTTCATTTAACGGAGCTGTTGCATGATAAGCCTGACTTATTTACAGCACAATAAACTGTAGCATGTTCGTTCTGAAAGCTCGTTAATTAGGGCCCAAGCCTTGAAAAGGCGAAGGCCCTATTGTTTTCCTTAGGATTATTATTATTATTATTATTATTATTATTATTTTATCGACTATTCGGGCACTTTTGGGGCTCTTAACGTGCACGAAAACTCTTGAAACTTTGCACACTGGTCAGAACCCGCGGCCATCAGGGCCGGGCTGAAGCTGGTACCCGGGCGTGGCAGGGGGGCTCGACAGCGCCCCCCCGGAACGGGGTCCGAAAACTTGGTCCATAAATCAAACACGCTTCCATGTAATAATATGAAACTCGGTACACATATAGATCTCATCGGTTCATATATCCTTTGTACTTTTACTTTTTACCCCAGCCCAACAGGAAGTCGGCTATTATGGTTTGTTTGGAAGCGTATGCCCCTGGAATTCGATATACTCCTCCTAGAGAATTCAACCAATCGCAACGAAACTCGGTCAGCATGATGTCAAGACATTGAGGATGAAAAATTGCCAGGGGATTTCTGATATCTCGAACGGTTTGGCCGTGACGAGGAAACAAATTTATGGCGAATAATGGAAACAGGAAGTGTGTTATAACTTCTGCATACATTAACTGATCTTGATGAAACTTCAACAGTGTGTTCGCTGTAAGAAGCCGATCACATGGATGTGACTATTGTGAGTCAAAGTTATAGCGCCACCAACTGGCAGCAGGAAGTGTGTCACTTTCAAAATGCTTTGAAATCACCCTCTTATTTTTACCCGATTTGCTTCAAACTTGATGTGTATAATGTAGACACTCGCCAGATGTAGACCTGTGAAAGGATTATTGATATCTTAGATACTGTTGCCATGGCAACGCATCAAACTTTAATATTCTTTTTGGATGCTTTTGAGACTCTTAGCATGCCTGAAATTGCTTAAAATTGCATGAAACTCGACAGACAGATCACATTTATTAGCCAGTAGACATGTGCAAAGTTTCAGAAACGGGCGTGGTGCAGGGGCTCAGTAGCGCCACCTTTTGTGACAAAAGTGGGTGGGGGGGGGGGGGGGGTTACTTTCATCTACAGTTACAAAACTTTTTCAACTTGATGAAAATACATTAAAGATGCTAAATTGTGAACGGATATTGAATATCTCAAACGGTTTTGCTATGGCGAGGGATTATGTCAAAAAGAGAATCAGGAAATGTTTCATATCTTTCTAAAATGTAATTATACACCATTTATTTTTCTATAAAATTATACTAATATTAGAACTAAACCCATTGTATTCCTTTTTTTCAATTTAAGATTTATGTTTAAGTTTAAAAACAGCCAGAATGGTTGTTTAGCCAAAAAAATAAAAAAATAAAAATCATTCACAGTGCTTTACTGCCCTCTTGTGTTCAAAATCAGGTAGGCCAATTGTATTAAATTGTAGGGATGCTACTATGGGAATATTTTCCCACCGTGACTCCGCTGGGGGCTTTAAAGTCGCTAACTTGAAAGCGGAAGTAACGGACGTCTCCACAAGACGTGCAGCCGTGAGCATTTTCGTTTCATTTTAAAAGAAGCCCCATTTCGGGGGCGGATTTCTTGAATGTATTTTACAAAATCACAATGTTGTGTTTGATTGCGAGTATCCAAAAATAAGTAAACACTTTGCAGTTTGAATGATCTTCTTGAATAAAATGACGGAGTAGCCAATGTTTCCACTGTTCGATCGCGGACGTCCACACGGACATTGATAATGGTGGCGCGTGCAGAGCGCTCGAGGGAATTCCTATGGAAGTAGGAATGAACTAAAAAACGTTCACTCTGTTCTGCTCGCTCATCGTCATGGACGCGCAGCGTTATGAATGCCCGTGTGATGCAGCATAACACAGCAGAGAGAGACACTCACTCTCAACTCGTGATTAATGAAATTTGACTCCGGTTGCTGATCTTTGCTGCAACTTTCGTTCAGCTCACAATTTAGTAAGCAAACCCGTTCAGGTTTTAATTGTAGTGACTAAATGATTTTATTAAACACACACACACACACACACACACACACACACAAACACACACATCAAATTGACGGTGGGGGGCAATGGTATATTTAAATCTGCAAATTGTAATATATGCAGGGCACCCCGGTCCAGTCTTATTAAATGTATGCTTCATCTTTCATTTTTAATTTGTAAATTTGATCAATAAATTCAATTATTTA